AAAACGTATATTCTAAAGTACCGTAAACTAAAATATATTGTCGCAATATAAACAATTAATATAATGGTCAAATTACCCTAACATCATTTCAGTAAGCGATAATCTTTATTCAAAACTAGCTTATTATAAAAAAAATGCCAAAACGTTACATTCTTTGCCTTTTTCAGACACTCAACCAAAGGAGATTGAACCACTTTTGAGTAAGTATATATTATAATGAACAATCTAGTTGAATTTGGTTTTGTGTTGTCCCTATCTCAGTTTAATTCCTCGGTTACATGTGTTTTAGATGACCTTATGTTCTTTAAAAACAATTATAAATATATTTCATTTCTTAATGGCCAGTTGTGTCTTAAAACGCTTTATCTTTATAAAATAAGATATACAGTAGTTACAGTTCATCTTATCAATTATAATTGTCAGTTTATGCTTTTAAACTTTAATTACCAGAAAACATAAGTTGGTTAAATATGATTTTATTACAGAGCAAACTGAAGCAGTTTTAAAAAGGAAATCAGAATATGTTTTAACCCAACAATTTTATGGAATTGAAAAGCTGTTAATGTCTTCCGCCAGTGTAGTTATAAGTGGAGGGGCAGGAGAAGGTAAAACCTATGCTGCATATGAACTTATGCGTCGAAACGGACAAGAGAACAATTGTATACAGATACATAGTCCCGATGACGTACGATTTGTCGACCCACGTGTGTTGGATTTCGTATTTATTGATGATATTTTTGGCAACAATGAGGTCGACGAAAGTAAATTGCAGTCATGGTTACAAGTTATGGAACAATTACAGCAACTTGTAAATGCAAAAGCAATTCATTTGATAATTGCAACACGACAAATCGTTCATCAAGAATGCAGAAAGAATTTAGTAAAATTCTCAATTTTCAAAAACAACTTCTCATTATCCTCAAAAAATTTGAGTCATGAAGAAAAAAAAGAAATACTTAGATCAGCTTTGTTCAATAAAAACAAAGATTGCAGTAGTGAAGATATTCAACAGTGTGTTATGACTTTCAGTTCAGATCTCGGATTTCCTTATACATGCGTTTTGTTTGCATCTGATGATAGTTTTTTCTGTAAGGGGGCGTCCTTTTTTAAGCATAACCCATTTTTGAATTTTGGAGTTTTAAGAACATTGAATAACTGTAAAAAGCTCTCTCTACTCTTCCTTTGGATTCAAGACGGAACTTTTCCAGTTGCTTTGAATCGAGGAAAAGAAAACGATGAAGTTCTTATGAAATTATCCCGAATGCTAAATTACGAACATGCAATAGATGTATTATATGATCAAGTCAATGAACATTGTAAAATTATGTATGGAGTTTTTGTAAATGCTGGATCATGCGGGTATCAGTTTACACACAATACGGTTTATCAGTCCATTGGTCATTATTTTGCCCGGATAGGACACTACGATTTGATTTTAGAATATTGTAATTTAGGTTTCTTTATGGAATGTATTTCAGTAACAGAAGATCATTATGAATCTGATCGAGTTTTTATACGAAGTAACTTTTACCAGAATTTAGTTGACAGAATAATAATTGAAGTAATTGACAGAAACCATTACCGTGAAATTGCAATGCATCCTTGCTTAACAAATGAAATACTTGAAATATTAGTTAAAACGTTGAAGAAGAAGAAAAAGCTTCAAGATTTTTTCTTCTCTGGCATATGTTCCAGTTCGTTATCCACCAATTATTCTATCAGCAGCACATTTCTTTCCTTCTATTTAGAAACGGGTGCAGCAAAGTCATGTTCATTTTTAAAACAGTTACAGGATCAATTAAAGTGTAGCAAACGATCACATAAAAGTAAATGCAAAATATGCTACCTGTACACAGAAGCGTATCACAGTGCATGTCGAGGGGGAAATATTGAGGCTCTCAAGTTACTTGCTTTTGCAAAATACGATAGTTCTATTTTGATTGATGCTGCATACAGTGGGAGTATATCCATGTATAAATACATTCATCAGCTGTTAGGCCCGGTCAAACATGAATGGCATGAAACAGAAGCATTATTTATCGCGGTTGAACAACAAGAGTCTGAGATGTATACTGTTATTCGAAATTTAGGATGTAGACCAGACTCTAAATGTTTGTTGATAGCATCCGAAGCAAAAAACAGTAATTTTCTTGTAAAAATTATAATTGACATGTACGATTCGCATGCATTGAATGAAGATAAAAACGTAAAATATGCGCAGAGCTCGTTATTTTGCATGGATGTTTTAGAAACCTTTATCAGTGTCGGAATGTGCCCGACTAAGGAGGATATTGTTCGCTCAATGTCATTGGATATGAAAGCTGTAGAGTCGATTTTGTGGGATTTGAAATACAAAGTAAAAGAAAAGGAACACTATATCAATGAAAATATAATAGAACTATGGAAAAATGTGACTGAAGACCAAGACCTAACGAAAAAGCTGGAAGAGATTGGTCTTCTTCATACATATTCTTACCTTGAACAACAAGTAATGAAAGAAAATTTCAAAAAGGTAGAACACATAATCCAGCATTTAAAACGGAAAGGAGATTGGAACGAAAAAAGTTTGCTTGCTTGTAATTTGCTCAACCTTTGTCTTCCAGAGAGAAAAAGTGCGTTTGAATATCTACTTAATCTCGGGTTTATTCCGAATTATACCACATTGTTAAAGTCAGTTGCAACGGAAGATAAAAGTATAATGGAAATGACTTTAGGTAAAATGAAAGCAGCTGAAGAATTTGACCCTTTGCATAAAGGATCAAAACAAGCTTTGTTACAGTCGACTTTGACCTGTGACATATATAACAGTTTGATAGATGAGGGAATGGATCCAAAAGCCTACCATTTCCTTTATGTAGTAGAGTGTGACAGAAATACTGAAACAAAAGTTAAAATAATCAATAACTTGTATTCGATGGTTGAAAAACGCAATTGCCTCCATAAATTAGACGAGAAAATAATGCAACTGGCTCTACTGGGAGCTTTCGATGATATCGATGTTTACACATGTTTGTGGAAAAAGCCATTTAAACTTCAGTCGAGTGTTTTACCGGCAATAATATCTCGGGGAAGTGTTTCACAGGTAGAACGCTTAATATCAAACTTGAAAGATCAAGAGGACTGGCCACCATTATTTGAGTTCACAAAGTTGTCTTTAGAAAGTTCTTTTTACATGCCCAACATTTTTGAGATGTTAATGACAGAAATTTCTGTTGAGAACACCGAGGACCAAAATAAGATTTTAACTTTCCAAATTTTGCTTGAATGCAGGATGAATTCATTTCATAAAATTGAGGAGTACATTTCAAAAATGAAAAGAAATAACTTATGGGACCCAAATAATGTCATTTTGAAATGTTCACTTTTTGAAAGCAGTCATGATCATGCAACATGTACATTATTTAACGACAATGGGGTCATAGCAGATGATATATTGCATACCGCATATGAAACAGGAAACTTAGAGATGCAGTCATACATAATAGCTTATCTAGGTAGAAAGGGACAACAGATCAATTTAAATCATTTTAATGAAGACATAATTAAAACTCTTTCGTCTGTCCCAAATCTTTGTTCTGGACATATGTTACATAGAGCTGTTGAGGTGTCTGATATTGAAGTCGTTCTGAAAGTTTTAAATACACTGAACACTACGGATCCACATTTCATAAAATCAGAGTTTGCATCGGACGTATTAGAACTTAGTTCTGAAAGGCTTGATATCTATAAAAGCCTTTTTGAGAAAGGTTTTATTCCGACTATAAAATGCCTTCTGAACGTTGTTAAACATGGTTCATATACATTATTCTATGATACAATGAAATCTTTAGATGATTTGAACAAACTTATTTTGACAGATGAATTCAAAAGAGAATTAGTTCAAGAGTCAATCAAGAGAGATACGGCGCGCTTTTACCTCTCTCTTACAGAGTATGGGATAAAGGCACATTTCGAGGACTTAATGTTAGCATGTTATTCAAAGAATCTATCTGTTTGCCATCTTTTAGTAAATGACATTGAAAGAGACATATTAGAGAAATGTCCCGATGGTACTGATGTCGTTATATCACAAATGTTTCCTTTGTACAAACAAATGTGTGAAAACAGGCTACAAATTACACCTCCAACCCTACTCAAATTGACACATTTATATCTTAAAGGACAAATTAGTTATACCAATATCGTAACATTAATGAAAGATTACTTTTCCTGTAAAATTTGGTCATTCAAGGATGATAGTTTATCTAAAGTATATGAGCTTTCAAAAGGAAATAAAGACCTTTTTTCCATTCTTAACGTTTATTATAAATCCGAAATTGAATCTCATATTCTTGAAGCTTTGATACAAGGAGACGAAAAATCAATAAACGAGTATTTGAAGCAGAACTCGGATGATGCAAAGCGAGTTTTACCAGGTGTGATAAGAAAAGCATTGATAACTAGGGAAGAATTAGACATGAGGTGTACACAACTAATATTGAAATGGATAGAAAACTCTCACTCTGATCCTAGCTTGAGAATTCTTTCTTCTGTATTATATTCAGATACAGAGAACACACTTGAAATTCTCTATGAAATGTCAGAACAAACGAAAGCTTCTCTAGATAATGATGTTTTACAAACTGCTCTTGAAGAGGCTATCTATAATAAGAAAACAGGTCTATATTGTTTAATTCTAAAAGAATGTCGTGTCAAGCCTACCACCTATTGCTTACTTCATAGTTTACGTCATAATAACGATGTTTGCTTTAAGTTAACACTTAAAAAACTTCATGGATTTAGAAAATCATGCCATGATCCTTATTACAAAACGTAACTTGCTCTGTGTTGTCAAAATTCAGAACTTGATAAATTTAAAGCTCTTTTGGAAAAATGCAAAATATGTGATACAGAGCTTTTATTTGAAGCTGTTCTCTGCAAGAATGAACATATATTCCAACTTGTTAAAGAAAATTTGATAAAACACAACCAATGGGATTTTAGCTTGCAGGAATACTGGATCGCCTCTGCATTTATTGAGGCTGAAGACAATCCCTTAATTAAGTGTCAGTTTGAGTCATACTACGATGACACCGTTACTGGACATGGCACTAAAATATATGATCAACTGATATACTCAGAAGACGAGGAACATGATGATGAGGATAAGGATCATGATGACAATAAATCTGAAAATGAATATGATAATTTAGACAGTTTTATATTCCGCGAAAAATCATACTTGTCGTTGAAACATATTCAACGGGACAATTTCTAGTATCTCTTAAGACCAACATTTTTTCTATATTTATCTTCAATCGTCTGATGAAATGCATATGATCGACTAGTCAATAATTGTACTGGTATGTTCTTGTTTTATAATACATTTGGCCGGGAAGAGAAAACTAGTTTGAAAATTGCAGGTAGGATTTTAGCCGAAGAAACGGTTTTAGTTATTTGTTTTATATTCGCGCCTGACCATTCAGTGCTGGAAACATACAAAGAGATGACATGTGTATATTTTTCATTTTTAATGTTCTGTTGGTATGTGTATACGTGTTTCAATTACTTTATTTTAGAGCTTTTTTTTTCTTTTTTTTTAATATCCTTAAATCAATATATTTTTGTCTTATACTAATTACATATATGTACATTAGAAACATAGAATTTATTGTTCTGTAAAAGCTTTTTGCTACTGAGAATCCCTCTGCAATTTTTGCAAGCATTGTGGTATATAACACACACACACAAAAAAACGAAAATTGTGGAGGGAGACCTCATGTGTCATCCGTGCATTATTCCAGGTACAACGGTGCACCTTAGTTGGAAAACCTCTGATATTTCAATTTTGGTATGTCATTTAATTGATTCGAGATAACAGAAAACTATATTGTAAAAAGGTTTAAGCAAATGAATGAAATAATATATGAGCCGTGTCACGACAAAACCAACATAATGGGTTTGCGACCAGCATGGATCCAGACCAGCCTGCGCATCCGCGCAGTCAGATCAGGATCCATGCTTTTCGCTTACAAACCCTATAGCAAGTAGAGAAACTGATAGCGAACAGCATGGATCCTGATCAGACTGCGCGGACGCGCACGCTAGTCTGGATCCATGCTGGTCGCAAACCCGTTATGTTGGTTTTGTCGTGAAGCGGCTCATATTATAATTCGATTATATTCATGAAATTTCACACAAATCAAATATACATGATACCATTTGTGGGAACAGAAACTATCAGTTTTTTTGGATAGTTATTTTTTAGACTAAATTTGAAACTAAATCCTCACAATTTATGAACTGATACATATTTTATAATTGCATCTTATTGAAATGTATCCAATTAATTTCTCACGTTTTAAACACGCGCTGTGAATACAGTTTTGTGACCAATATTGTCAATTTTGTCTCAATTCCATTTTCTAATTTCGAAATATCTATATAAAATTCATATTGTGCTCAATCTAGCCTCGTTATTATCTGTTGTGTCCAAATATATTTATACTTAATATGTATTTGTCATAATATTGGAAATTAGTCCTGTGAAATAAAAAGAGGCGTTGTTTTTTTACATTGTTGTTGCGAAAAACGCGAACATATTTATGTGTTTCTTTATTTTATCCGGCGGCTTGGCAGTACATTGTTGTTACCGCCGGGTTTGTGTTTCTTATATTTATACAATTTTTTGTTTTATTTATGATTATTACATGTAATAAGTCGTATATAAAAGGAATTTAATTAATTAGTATAAAGCATGTTAGACACCAATCACCCGAAGAAAGTAGCGCTGAATGAGAAACTTTTTCATTAAAGTAGCAAAATGTAAGTAAAGTGGTATTTTGATATCCATACAAAATACCAAATCACTATAACTGTACTAATTGCGAAAAAGGATTATACATTATAGTACCTAATGGTGCTCTTACACAAGTTAAGACAACGAACATGTCTGCAACTGACTGCTTGGAACGAAAACCAGGCAAACTACCCGTACACTGTCAATGACCGAGAGTGAAACACCACTTACTTGTCTCTAGATGGTTAAATGAAACAACACTTGAAATAAAATTTCATGTAAACTGTTAATACTGGTTAGTAAGGTTTAATGTGTAAATCGGATATTACTGACACCTTATTTCAAGAAAGAATGTGAACAAAAACCTCAATATCTCGTGTTTTTTATTTGCATGATCTAATGCGTTATTTACGCAGTACTCAATGTAAATAAGAGAGATAATACATGTATATTCAGCATGGGTACGTGTCTCCGGAACCGGTACGTCCGGGGTTGTATATCAAGGTTCGTCAATGAGATAGTCCTAATCATATTTATGAAATATTAGTAAGACGGTAGTTTTTCCATTATCTTCTGGAGACATGCTGCTTAAAACCAAATTGTAAATAGTAATACGTTAGCTATTAATATATATATAGATGAAGATTATGTATGCATGAGTTTAAATCTGAAAAATTAACTCATATGACTGATTTAAATTTATATTTGATTTAAATTGAATTATATGTCATAAAATGTTTAATTAATTTCAATCAGCAAGAAAAATATAACTGTTCTTGTTTATGTTAAGTAAATTGCTGTGTGTTTATAATTGTTATGGTGCAATCAGAATACAGGTATTGCTACATTGATATTCCTTATCCAGATGAACCACTTAAAAATATTTTAATAATTGTATTTAGTATGAACATGGTTGGTTCCCTACATTTTGTGTCTTTTGTATGTGTTGTATTTTTTTGCAATAACTTCCTCAACATTCACATTTATTATGGACATTACTAATTGAATGATTACCTTTATTTGAATGCATTTATGTGTTATATTTAGATAATGACCTGCAAATTATGCAAAAATATTCTGTTGATATGGCATAACATTGGAATAGGACTGAGGAGATAAAATTGCTGTTTCCTATATCACTTGTAATGTTATGTAGAATTATAATGAAATGCAGTTTGAATTATGCATACTTTTATGTTGTATGATACTCACTTGAATGATTTAAAATATGTTAATGATTTTGTGTGATACACTTGCTGTTTCCAAAATTAATTTTTGATTTAAAGGGACTCCACTGAGGTTTTTTGACATGTCAGGACTGGAAATAATTTTTTGAGATTACTACTCCATTTGATGTAGATCTATACTAATAACTTTTGTGCAAAATATCAGATTATTAGCTTGCTCCGTTTTTTCAGAATAATTATTATATTAGTGAAAAATGACCAAAAATTGAAAAGCGTTTAAACGCTTTTTACTCAAATCGGACCGTGCATAGCACAAACATATGATTTCCAATGTATGTCTTGTATATTTCTTGGTTATATTTTATTTGTATTTCTGTTTTAAGTGCTAAATTGTATCTATGTGAAAAAATAAAAATTTATGTTTTTACGCTTATTAACCTCAGTGGTGTTCCTTTAAGTTAAAAGTTTAATACCGAGTGTCATTGATGACTATATAACTATTAAAGTAGTGTTTATGTCGTACGATTAATAGTTTGAATGTCTTAACCAATATTTGTATGCCATCATGTTACTATACAATTGTTGTTTCATGCAGTATAACATTCCAGGCATGATATGAAGTGTATATGAATGTGTTAACCAATATTTGAATGCCATCATGTTACTATACAATTGTTGTTTCATGCAGTAAATCGTTCTAAGCATGATATGAAGTGTATATGAATGTGTTTACCCATATTTGTTTGACATCATGTTACTATACAATTGTTGTTACATGCAGTATAACATTCCAGACATGATATGAAGTGTATATGAATGTGTTTACCCATATTTGTTTGCCATCATGTTACTATACAATTGTTGTTTCATGCAGTAAAACATTCTAAGCATGATATGAAATGTATATGAATGTGTTAACCAATATTTGCATGCCATCATGTTACTATACAATTGTTGTTTCATGTTGTATAACATTCCAGACATGATATGAAGTGTATATGAATGTGTTAACAAGTATTTGAATGTCATCATGTTACTATACAATTATTGTTTCATGCAGTTAACCATTCCTGGCATGCTATGAAGTGTTTATGAATGTGTTTACCAATATTTGTATGTCATTATGTTACTATACAATTGTTGTTTCATGCAGTGAAGAATTCTAAGTATCATATGAAGTGTAAATGATGACTGATATTTGAATAGTGTCTGGTTTAATTAGAGCTGAGGTATGTTTTACTTGCTAAATAATGTTATAAAAGTATGACATCCAGTTTGATTGATGTCCTATATTTTGTATAGATTTGTATTTTGTTTTACATTCTTGTTGCAAAACTTGCTAATCTGTACTGTTTTGATATAAGGTGAGTGGTTATTCATATTTGAATTTTTTTAAACATTCAATTTGAATGATCACCAATATGTAAGGTTTGATTTTGTATGCTCACTTTCGTTAAAAAAATAAATGGAATGTACAACCTTCTAAGTTATAGTTTGATATGACACAAAGCTTGAATAACTATTGATTATTTATGAAAACGCCCTTTCTGTATTATAAGGAGTGTTGCGATATTGGGTCAAGTTAGAGTACATTGTTAAAAGAAAAACCCTACAAAGTGACCTTCAAGTTGAATTATATATTATATATTTAGTGATAATTTTTATACATTGGGGTATTGTTATTCATTGCTAATATAAAAGATGTTTTAAAAACTATAAAGTGTAAAGTGTTTGACATGACTAATGATTGTATATTGAAAGATTTTAGTAAGCTTTTTATTGTACATGCTTGCTGTATACAAAACGCCTTGTCTAAATGTTAAGCACAAGTTATATCAAAATACCTTTAGGAATATGTCAAAATGTTATAGAGAAAGTATAATTATATTATTGTTTTCTTAGATTAAATCAATGGCAAATTTTTCTGTTTTAGGAAATGTACTCTTTTGCTGAAAGGTGGGACTTTAAAGAAGGAATGAACGATTTCAAAAGTTTCTTTTGTTGTATATTGCATAGACGAATACAATAGGTTGGTATGATGGTTCAGCGTAAAACACCTTAAGTACAAAGACGGAAAAGTCAACACAGAATAGTATTTATTATATACTGTTTACTGATGATTTTAATCAAATGTCGTTTTCAGTAGACTGTATTGTGCCTAATTATATTATAAACTTTACTTGCAAGAAAAATAAAAAGTCTTTACTATGTCAACATTATTATTGTTATTGTAAACTGATTGTTTAAACAAACGACGTTTACTTGACAAGATATAATAAATTCAAATACAAA